CTCCTATAATCATACAGTGTGATGCGTCTCAAGATGCTCTTGGGTGCTGTTTGCTACAAAACAACAAACCTGTTTACATGGCGTCTAGGTCTCTTAACTCAGCTGAGGTCGGTTATGCCCAAGTTGAGAAGGAATTGCTAGCAGTATATTTCTCCTGTTCAAAACTACACGCTTATGTATACGGACATGAAGACATCACTATTCAATCTGATCATATGCCCCTTGTGTCACTAATGCAAAAACCTATCAATAAAATACAGAATAATAGATTAAAAAGACTTAGGCTAAAGTTATTGCCCTACAATTTCAAAATACAGTACTTGGCTGGAAAGTCATGTATATAGCTGATTTCTTGTCACGATGTGGCGTAAAAACAAATGAGCCAGTTGACCTCACCATGCTAGATATGGTACACTGTGTAACCGAAACAGGAATTGTAAATTTTTCAGATGAACGACTTGAAGAGTTCAAAAAAGAAACTGCAAGTGATGACGTTTTGGGACAAGTTGTGAAGTATTATGTAAATGGATGGCCTACATCATTGCCTTGTGGTGGAGATCTGGCACATTATTTTAATATCAGATCTGACATTGAGTTGAATGATGGCTTACTGTATTTCAAAAACCGTATAATTATTCCGAAGAAACTGAGACCCATAATTATCAACCGACTGCATGAGACCCATCTTGGGGAAAGGAAAATGAATTCAATTGTCTCAAATTTCTATTACTGGCCCGGAGTAAGAGCAGTTTTGAAGAACATTGTTGACAGATGTAATATTTGTCAGAAATATAGAAGATCAAACATCAAAGATCCACTCATTTGCCACGAAACACCTAATGTTCCATTCTTGAAAGTTTCCGCAGACATTGCTGAATGTGCTGGGAAGATATACTTGATACTTGTTGCCTTCTACTCTGGATGGTTAGAGGTGGTCAAAATGAATAGTAAAAACAGTTTATCTGTGAAGAATGCATTAGTCCAAATATTTGGAAGATTTGGGATTCCACAGATTATGATAGCTGACAACATGCCTTTTGATTCTTACGAACTAAGAGAGTTCGCAAAGGAGTGGAATTTTAAAATACAAACTACAAGTCCTAACTATCCTCAAGCCAATGGCTTAGCAGAAAAAGCTGTAGGTATTGCTAAAAAACTTATAAAAACGTCCTCAGAATCAGGATCAGATCTAAATTTGAGCCTACTTAACTACAGAAACAGTGTTGTTGCAGGACTTGATTATTCTCCAGCTCAGTTACTAATGGGGAGGGTATTAAGATCAAAATTACCTCTTCCAAATGACAGATTAGAGCCAAAGATAATTCATCAAGATGTAGCAGATCAAATGCAGACAAAAAGAATCAATCAAAAATCATATTATGATAAGACGACAAAACAAGAAACAGTATATAATGAAAAGGATCCCATTTATGTACAAGATGTTCGGACCAAGATCTGGGAGCCAGCTATCATAGTAAAAGTTGGTGAAACTCCAAGATCATACGTAGTGCAATATACAAATGGAAAACAATTCAGAAGAAACTCATTTTTCATAAGAAAAAGAAAAATTGAATTTGTCAAAGGGGAAGATGTTTAGATATTTAATATTCTATGCTTTTAAAATAACATATGATTCTTCATGTTTATCTTACATCTGTTTACAAATAAGTTGTTGTTATGTTTTTGAGAATAGAAACTTTTACTGTTACTAAAAAATGTCTCCTTTATTTAAAATTAATTAATAAAAACTAAACAGGAAGTATACTCTCTTGGGGGATGTATAATCAATTCAATAACCATATAAACAGCAAATTCAAATACAACGATGGACATAACGACATGGATTTTTCTATGAATTGCTAAGAGAGCATAGACTAGAATTAATAAAGCGATATCACGGCCACCTCTAAAAGCGGCCGTGGCTATATCCAAAAGTCGATGCTATTTAGCAAGCTCAATGACATTACTGCTGCTACATCACAGCTGATTGGTTTACCTTTTTTGTGTATCAAAATTATTCGGCTTTGTTTATTTATTAGCAATTAGCACCACTGAGCATTAGCACTAGCAGACGGGGTCGAGTTCCCGCGAGGCTCAAAGGACGTTCCATGACGTAGGCTCAACGTCAATATTGCATGACGTTCAAACTTCCCAGATCCATTCCTTGCCCATTTTAGTGGTTCTGGAATCCAGCGGAAGGATTTTGACTGAATTTTGAAATTAGGGACTTGCCGGACTTGTACACCTAAAAACGTGATTGGTGGCACACTACCAACCAATATTCGTATTTCGCAATAAAACTCATTTAACAATTTTACATTGGCCTTTATGGGTTGTCAAATGTAATTGTTGGTTGAACAAGGACAAAGTAAACAACAGACTTGGCACATGTGTTTTACAAGCCATCCACAGTATACTAGAAAATTAAAAAATACATTAGGGTTCTAAGGGAAAAAGATCAGTTGATACATTGAGCAAAGATTACTCGGTATAGGGGAAAATCGTCCCGATAAAATACTGATTATTTTACTTAGCCCTCTCCCACCAAATTTAATCCACGAAGTACTGGGGCATTCCAAGTAAACTAATTACATATGAGGGTTTTAATTGGCATAGCACTATTACCGCAATCCGTTATGCAAAATCACAATAAAAAAACAAACAGAGTCACAATTTATTTAAAAGTTAGTAGTAGCCAAAAAGCGAAAATCTTTGTCACAAGCCATTTAGAAACTAATTTAGTTTTGTTTGTATATCATATTTTGATCTGCTGTCATTGGTGACCGTAAAAGACGAACAACGGGTTTCAATGACTTGAGAGGAGAAAATATCTGTTCAAGATGCATTTAAACTACGAGAGATCATAAAAGTGTATCTTATTTTTGTTTAGTTGTCTATTATTAATGTAAGACTAAATTACTTACGTAATTCCCGTCACAGCTCAATAATGTTTTTGTCACAACTCAATGCATATTTTGTATAAAACAGAGAACTATTAATTCAGTAATAATAATGTTTTTGTAAATTATAAAATGTCTGCTTACGATTAATCGCTTTAGTTAATAATCGGTATAGTTTTAAGGATTAAACCCAATTAACCAAAACCGAACAAGACTTGGCCTCCATGTACTAAGTTATAATAACAGAAATTACCGATTGCACGCACCTAAGTGATTGCAAACTTTATAAAATCCAGCTGTTATTGAAGTTATACTTTTTATTGTAAAACCAAAACTGACAATATAAAAAATTATGGAAGGACTAATTTGATTCAAATGTTGGGTGTATTGCCATTTATTAGGTTTAATCATATTTATTTACGATATCGATTTTATTATTTTCTGAATGGTAAAATTCCGAATATAATGTAATTTGACTTAGCCATTTATCAAGAATTACGATATGGATCGAGTAACAAATACTGTGTCTATTATTTTGATTCAAGGACACAGTGGGCCTTTCTGGGGAACTACACCCGTCCCAATGGGCAACGGCAGAGAAACAGGTTGGCTGGTTGGTAACACTGACGACTCGGTGGTGATAGTTCCATCAACGCTCACCAGAGCGTCCTTCGTACGGGGGTGTTTTGCGAAGCGATTTTCATAAACAAGCCTCACAAATTACTCAATTTCTGAGTTAGCTGTTGGTTTTTATGAATTTCTACTTAGCGGGAAACCATCTCAATAAACTAATAAAGGGTTTAAAATGGAAAAACGTTCTAATTTTGTTTTAAAAGTTTAAGGATTATGTAGAAGAAGATGACCAATTTTCATTAAGTTCAACCTTGAATAAAATATGTCTCGTAAAAGTTAAATACCTTAAAATATGTTAATACCCTAGTTTATTTCATGAGAAACATTTTGCCGTTTACCGAAACTCGATAAGTGATTTAATAAGCTCAGAATTTGAGTAATACGGAGGTGTGTTTTTCAGCCGTTTGGTAAAGGTTTAAAGCCCTCTTAATGGTTTCGGTTTCAGAATACGGATACACTACTGAACGCAATCAAGTGCAAGTTGGCAGTTTCAAATTTGCAAGGTGGATGCTATTTTGTTAATGATTACAGTAGTACGTAATGAAAACCCATTTGCTTGAGCTGGCGGCAAACAGCCATTTTCTGGACTAAATTCTTGTGTGGGAAGCTCGTTAAAACTGACTGTGGGGTAAAATATATTTTTATTTAGCTAATTTCATTGACTTTTGGTTACTAAAACAAAAAATCCCATCCAAGGTCCAGCTGTTGCCAATTTTTATTCAAAAAGAGTTCTATTGAATTAGACATTAACAGATTGCAAGTTAGTTTTGAAATACAAAATACGAAGTTTAGTTTTAAATTCATTTTTGTTGATTAAAGTTATAACCTCAATTGGAAGTATAAAGGAATTAAGCTTAATGTTTAAAGGGAGGGAAAGGAATTTAGCCATTTCAAGCTTAATAAAGGGGGTTGGGGAACCTGGGCGAATTGGTGCTTTTAATTATGTAAATTTGTTATAAATAATCATAAAAACGTATGAAATATTGAATAAATTTTGTAAAAAATTACGAGTACAGATCAAGCGTCATAGAGGCTATGCAAAATTACATCTTTTAAGGCCAAGTTACCAAATATAGTATGGATGGAGCTTCTCGTATCCCTAAAAAGGTAGATGGAGAGTATTTTTCTCAGTTTTCGTGGATGGAGAGGTTATCTAGCTTACAAATAGAGCTCGTTATTTTTATTTGAAAATTCATCGTATATAAACCGTACGGTCTCAAAAACTGTAGGCTATCCCACAGTTCCATACACTATCCCATGTCAAGTCGAAATAATAAACATTTTAAATAAACAACCAATTTTGGCGATTTGACACTTTGGCAGACGACTAATACTTTAAAAGCTGTGGGAAACGTGCCATCAGTCATCACTATGACGTCAATCATGGAACGTCCTTTGAGCCTTGCGGGAACTCCCCTACCAGAAAGCAGACGCACTTTCTTTAGCTAGCAGACCAAATGACAGCTGTTCAGTCAGTTTATGTTAAATGTTGATCTTGTTCAGTTGTTCTTGGTAACGGTATTAAAAATGTTTTGAACAATTAATTACCTTCATGTTTTTAACTATTTATACCAAACTAAATTGATTAAAACTCTTAATTTCTAAATCTAATCCTGACTAATATTCAATACTTATCACAGTATTAAACACCTAGGCTAGTTTATAAAGTAAGAACATTTTGAAATCTGCATCAGCATAGGCCTAGGCTGAATCTTTGCAGGACTAGTGTTTTCACATATCGTAAGTGCCAACTGTTTCAACTAGCCTATTAATTTTCACTGTATTTGTCATTTTGATATACTAAGAACTGCATTAACCTACTTTACTGTATAACCATTACTGTAGGCCTATGTATGGTTATACACTAGCCTACAGGGGTACACTTCCATATCCGTTAGCTTAAACAACCGAATGAAAATATTGATCGATATATTGTAGGTAAGGATAACCTAACCTAACCATATATTGAATTAAACAATCAAATAATCAAAATTACTCATTCAGTTGTTTGTGCCAACAGATATGGAAGTGTACCCACCCGCCTAAAGTAGGTTAAGTTAATGCAGTTATGCCTAAATAGATCAGTGTAAAACTGCAAATAAACCAACATTAAATCGATCCTAAATGGTTGGAAATTAATTTAACCCTCCGAGTGTCATGCGTCGCTGCAGCGACTCACGAACACTGTTTACGGCAAAGGCTCTATGACTGACTGAATCGGATTGAACTGGATCGAGTTAGGTATCGTTCTTTTCGTTAAATTATAAGCTTTCTCCAGAGGTCTGTCTCAGCGCTGTATGTTCTCCGAGCCGATCGTAATTGTAGCAGACAGCTGACGTGCGTATTTGTAAAAAGCTTGGTTATCCTCGGACCGATAACTGATGTGTTTTATTACGTTTATAATTGTTTTAGTGTTAAAAATCAAAAGTAGTGATATACGTGGTGCATTATAAGAAGATTTAAGTGATTTTGAAGGGCTGGTTGATGATCCCGAAGAAGTAGGTAGTGATATTGATGTAAATTATCAGCCAGATTCCTAGCTATGGTTAGGCTATGCATTCTTAGCTAAACGCAATGTACTGAAATCTGTTTTTCACTCATAACTTATTTATTTGATAACTTACCTCACTATATGATTATATATTTGTAATCCTCATAAAATAAGTGGCTATTTTCAAATATTTATAGGCCTATAATTTATACAATTTCATTGAGCGCAAACTTATATTTTCTTTTAAAATTTTCCAAAATATTTTTTTTTACCTAAGAAATTTTTTTTAAACAAATGTTCTTTATGTTTTATATATAATATTGAAGCCCATGATTTTCCAAACAAAATGGTATATAGAACAGTAAGTATAATTAACTTAACATTGTTTTTAAGCTTCTCAGATCCGTTTTAATAAAACCTTGCAAATGAGCTAAAAATAGGCAGATATTAAGGCCAAAACAAGGGACACTCGGAGGGTTAATCAACCATCCATAACTTCGTTTAATTGACCTACAGTTGTTAACATTGATGTTTTAAAATCAGGATGTCAGTGGCGGCTCTAGGACCTTGTCAAGGAGAAGGGGCTCCAGGGGTCCTCCCCCTGAAAAATTTTACATTTTTAAAGCCGTTTGATGACTTTCTAAAGCAATTTTTAACGCCTAAAACTGTGTCCAATAATAGTCCAAAAACTCCCATTTCACCTGTTATTTGTCATGAGCAAGTAGACATAAGTAGAGTAGAGTAAAGTATATTTTTAAATAGTTTTTACCAATTTATTCAATAGATCAGATTTATTATCCTAATAGAACTAGGCCTATATTAAATATGAATAGATATTGCAAAACATAACAACTAATCCTCTATTGTGGTTTCTATTTCATAATTTAACTTGCACTTTTTAAACCTAGTTTTAATTTTTAGTTTTAAATTAATTTCTAGAAAATCCTTTTCTACTCTTGCTTGATTTTTGAGATTGGGTTATAACAAAATCAGGTTTTGGCGGACCTAGCAGCTTTAACTCAACTCTCTGTTCAAAACTTACCACCTCACCACTGGCATAGGTACTTCGTAGAAATGTTTGTCACCGAATTCATTGTTCATTAATTCGCACTTAACTACCTACACTTATAACGAAAAGAATTAGGCTAGAGGTACAGGTACAACTGTATATTAATTAATTAACAACTATAGAATACCGGCGGCATGGCACGATAAACATAACCTCAGAAAACTACAGTAGTATTCACTATTTGACTGATCTCATCTCTAAATAATTGCATTGACAATGACAGATCAAGATCGCTCGCTGCACCCAGCGCTTGTTGTGGCAATAGTTTAAACTACTGTTTGGACGGAGTCCCAAACGCCCTATATCTGTTTCATTAGAGCCTGATGCAGCGCTGTGATTGGTCGAATATTTCCATGCAGTTTATATGGGAGTTTGGACTCATACCTACTGCGTCCCAGCGTACTACCTGTTGCAAAAACATGTAGCGTCCTCTACTGCCTGTCCTAAGAACATTGACCCTACTGACGTTTATGTACAATGAATGTAGGATTAGGCCTACAAATTATTTTTAAGTATGTTATTATTTTTTTTACTATTTTGTTGAAAATGGGAGGACTCCGTCCCAGAGTCCTTATGGACCAGCCGCCACTGCAGGATGTACAATGGAGTAAATTCATTAAACCTCCCAGCAAGCTCACCATGTTCATCAAACATTTTAACATAGGCCTATTTAGGAAATTATGCATAATAAGATGACCATGGTACCGTAACCTAAACAGTAGACCCCTATTAACCTACCCTAACGGGACCAGAGCTAGGTCGGATAACTCAAAAGTTCAATTAAAACGGGCAATCTCTAAAGACTTAAAACAATCAAGTGCTATTCATTTGGAGTTATATAAGTTAATCACTCACTAGCAGAGAAACTAACCCTTCCTTCGTACGGGGTTGGCATATTTAAGTAAAATGCTTATGGCAGTTATACGTTATACTCGTGCTCTGCGTCTGCAATGGGGGAGGACATAGTTTGAGAAAATTTTTGGTTCTTTAATTACATTATGCTACAGTTTAAAACATACCTACCATAGCCTTAACCTAATTTTCTACCACTGCACCAAAAACAATATAAATAAAGTCAATTATCAAACATCGCACAATATCACAAATTATTTATTAAATTAAAAACATAACTGTAAACAATCCTACTTTGACGGTTTGCTTTGTGTATCACAGCTGTTTGTTGCTGCTTAAGCAGGCCTACTTTAAATTGGTATTTACTCAGGGGAGGTATAGATGAGCTTACGATGACTGTGGGCTTCTCATTAGCTGAGGGAACACCATTACCTTAACAATACGATTTTAAGGTTTGGTTGGTTATGACAATGGGACAAAACTTGAAACCTGGGCTGAGGCAAATGACCTGCAGCTCATACATGATCCTAAGCTCCCTTGCTCCTTTAACAGCGGTAGATGGAAGAGGGGTTATAACCCTGACAACATCTTTGTGAGCAGCAGGATTGCCTCCCAGTGTGAAAAGTCTGTAGGTGATCCGACTCCCCGAACTCAACACAGACCTATAGCATGCACCTGTTGCTGTTGTTAAACCTGAAGTTGTTCCTCTAAGGCACAGGTTTAATTTCAAAAAGGCCAACTGGACGGGTTTTAGGGAGATCATTGACAGTGAAATCGCCAATAGCCCTCCACAACCTGATATGTCTGACTCCTTCGTTAAGCTTGTCCAGCAGGTCTCGAGAAAAATGATACCTAGAGGCTGTCGAACCCATTACATGGCAGGACTCTCTGAAAAGGCAAAGCCATTGCTACAACGATAGCGAGGTCTCTTTGACAATAATCCCTTTGCTGACGACACACTTCTAGCAAGTGAAGAGCTTATGTCAGTCATTCCCGAAAATCGCAAAACTAAGTGGTGTGATCTTGTGGAGAGTTTAGATATGCAGGTGAACAGCAGACGGGCCTGGAAGTTCCTCAAGAACATAAATGGAGATGCGACAAAACCAAAAGACAACTTTACAACAGTTACTGCCGATCAAGTCGCAGTTCTTTTAAATGGCAAAACCTATGGAAGGAAATACCGGGAGCTTGTTGTGCGTGATGTGGCAAGTGAGAATCAATTCCTGGAAGAACCATTCAAACCATGTCCGAGCTAACTGCAGTCATTACCAGCTTAAAGACTAATAGAGCTCCAGGTATTAACGAGATCAGAGTCGAACAGCTAAAGAACCTAGGTAAAAATGCCATGCAATGGTTGTTGAGCCTCATGAACATGTGCGTAAGCCAAATGCATATACCAAAGGCATGGAGGAAAGCTCGTGTGGCTGCACTGCTCAAACCTGGGAAAGATCCAAACGATCCTAAGAACTTTCGACCTGTTTCTCTCTTATGCCACATATATAAAATATTAGAACGTCTGATACTCAATCGAATCAGCGATTTTCTGGAACAAAAGATCATTCCACAACAGGCAGGCTTTCGATCAGCAAGTCTTGTTGTGGCCAAGTTTTAAACTTGACCCAGCACATTGAGGATGGGTTTGAGAGAAAACAGATCACGGGTGTTGCTTTTGTAGATTTAACAGCTGCCTACGATACCATAAACCATCGAAGACTCTTGGGAAAAGTGTACAGTATTACCAAAGACTATCAGCTGACTGCAATGATAGGCACTTTTCTTCATAAGAGGCGGTTTTTCGTGTCCCTTCAAGGCAAGAAAAGTAGATGGAGGAATCAAAGAAATGGATTGCCTCAGGGTAGCGTCTTAGCCCCAGCTCCAGCTCTTTATAACATTTACACTAACGACCAACCGTTGCCAAACGCTACACGTCAGTATATATATGCTGATGATACGGCAGTGGCGGCACAAGGTAGGAGTTTTAAAGAAGTTGAACAGAAGCTGACTATGACTCTAAATGAACTTTCCCAGTACTATGACACAAATCACCTCAAGCCGCTAAGACCCAAGTTTGTGCCTTTCACCTAAACAATAAAGAAGCAGGCCGTGAGTTGAATGTGAGGTGGCGGGGAAACCGTCTTCATTATTGTCTTACACCCAAATATCTGGGCGTCATACTGGACCGCACACTGACATTTAAGGCGCATTGTATTGCGACAAGAAGTAAAGTCTCAGCGAGGAATAATATCATTAGGAAGCTCACCAGCAGATGCTGGGGTGCTAACCCTGATGCCCTCAGAACCTCAGCTTTAGCGCTCAGTGTGTCGGCTGCGGAGTACGCTGCACCAGTATGGAATGCATCGTCACATGCAAAAAAGGTTGACATTGCAGTCAATGACATGGCTCGGATTGTAACTGGGTGTTTGAAACCAACCCCAGTACACAAACTCTACCCTATCATAGGGATCGCCCCTCCATCAATCCGACGTGATATCGCTGCCGACGCAGAAAGGACTAAGCAAGAGACAGAACCTCGTCACCCATTACACAGCCACCTACCTGCAGAGCGACGGCTTCGGTCCAGAAAGAGCTTTTTATCACGGACACGAGTCCTGGATGGATCACTCTCAAGCAATCGGGTGGCAAGGTGGGAGGCCACGTTGACTAACCATCCCATACCAGCCAGGGAGGAACTGGCTCCTGGTGGAGGCCTTCATTGCATGGTGTGGAAGACCCTAAATCGAATTAGGGTCGAGGTATAAAAATGCAAGACAACATGCAGAAATGGGGTCTCTTACCAGACAAAGAAAACATCTTGTGCGCGTGTGGTGCTGTTCAAGATCCTGGCCATAGTGTATCTGCTGATCTGCCTCATTAGATGATCTTTTACATGCGAATGACAAAGCCATATCGGTAGCTAATTTTTGGAAAAGCGAAGTCTGATTTCCGGACACAGAAAGTAAGTATGAGTACCACAGCCACAAGATGTATGTAATATAGACTGAGCAGGCTGTGTGTGATGGTGTCACTGCATACCTGGGGTCGTGCTTAGCTGGCCTCTAGCCAATGACACTTTTGTGGTTTGTTATAATTTTAGTTTCTTGTGTAATATATTTTGCTTTTCTTTCTTTGTCACCGTGAGACAGCTGCAACCAGGTATTCAGTGACATCATCAAGCACAGCCCACTCAGATTGGCCATCCCCCTATGCTCATGCTCCATAAATCCTTCTGATGGATGATGGATGACATCAATATGGACCATATTAGCACAGAAAACATACTACTATAACCCAGAATGCTTTTTACCATGCGGTTGGCATTCTGGGTTATAGTAATATGTTTTCTGTGATATTAGTGAGAAAGATAAGTTTAAATAATTAATTTGTTACAGGAAACTGGCGAAACAAAAGAAAAAGATGCCACCAGGGAGAAGAAGACAGACAGAAAACAACAGTGGAACTGTTGGATGTCAAACAATGAAGGCACAGCCCAATGAAAAGTTCCTGAAGAACCAAAGTGACCTAGTGCTGTGGAAAAAACCTTTTAAAACGTTGACATATTTTTTTTATGAGCTATTGTACCAAGTTGGTAGGTTGGCTAAGAAGATAATTCAATACCGATTGTATATACTTTTAACTATGTTCCTAATAGTAAGCTTATTAGGGCTCACTTATGTTGAAGGCCCTCTTCAGCCTGTCATTGGACGATGTACAAAAACAGCTAAGTGGTGTCTCTATTGGGTTGGACTGGGCATTTTGTCTTCAGTTGGTTTGGGCACAGGTTTGCATACATTTCTTCTTTATCTGGGACCACACATAGCATCAGTGACAGTTGCTGCTTATGAATGTGGAGGTCTAAACTTCCCAGAACCTCCCTATCCAGACAAGATCCTTTGTCCGGCAGGAGTGGACCCTCGTTGGGTCACTACTGTGTGGAACATTATGAAAAAAGTATGGTTAGAAGCTACAATGTGGGGAGCAGGAACTGCCTTGGGTGAGCTACCACCTTACTTTTTTGCAAAAACCGCTCGGCTCACCGGTAATGGTCAAGAAGATATTGAAGAGCTAAAAGAATTGGAGAAGAAGAAAAGAAACTCACAAACATTATGTCTTACTGATCGTATTAAGCTTTTTGTTGGAAAATTGATCAAACGGGTAGGGTTTTTTGGAATTCTCGTATGTGCATCAGTTCCTAATCCTATGTTTGATCTTGCAGGAATTATGTGTGGTCACTTTCTTGTCCCCTTTTGGACATTTTTCGGAGCCACGCTAATTGGAAAGGCAATAATCAAAGTCATGATCCAAAAGATTGTTGTTATTGTTGCTTTCAATGATGCCTTAGTGTCAAAGATATTGTTTTTTCTTAAGTACCTTCCAAAATTAGGCTCGATCGATTTGCAAAATTTGTTTGATCTTTATTTAAAAAAACAAAAGGAAAAGTTTCACAACCCTATTGATAACAGTCCCAAAGGGTCTATTGATCTCATTTATAATGGTTTTATTTTAGTCATGATCGGATATTTTGTGGTTTCTATTGTAAATGCGTTGGCTCAAAGTTATTATAAGCGAACAAACTCAAATAGATTGGCCAAAGAAAAATGAATTGTTAATATTTATAGGTGATATGCCAGTATTCTCTTGTGTACCTAGAAGTTTAGTAGACCATTCCATTTAAATGTGTTTTTGTTGTTACGGTTTTTGTATAGTTTTTGACTCTTTTGTATATTTATTTTGTTGTTTTACTTGTATGATAGTACAAAGTATAAATAAATACTTGTTTGTTGTTGCTAACCAAGATTTTAAATGTTGTGCAATCTATTTATACCATATTACTAGTCTGCCTCTTTAATAAAGAACATTTCACATCACAGGGTCCAATTTCTAAAGGTCCAAAACTAATTATTTAGAATTGATTTTCCTACTTCTGGATATTGATTTATATTAACAAAAGTATTGAGTGAAAATTTAAAAACGTACGTTTTCATGTCCCTGGCCTTTTACTTCGTATATACTGGATTTGTAGTTTATTATTATGTGTTTTAATATTTTTTGGGACGGGGGCAACATGTTACACACATTTATTTGTTTTTAAATAGGTTCAAGGTATTTTTTTCGTATTTTTAAAGTCTCGAAATTCACGACCATGACGTGTCCCTAGGGTACATTTTCCAACTTTCATGCTGTTTTTAGACTAATTATTCATGCCGAAATATATAAAGCCATATTTTTATGTCATCAATGGTTATTAAACTTACAAAAAAAGGAGCATATTATAATTTTATTGTCATTACAAACTGACTACCAGTACAAAATAAGTCTGTCCCTCGATTTGGCGTCACGAACATTTGGGAAAAATTTTCAACTTTGGAGCACGACAGTGGCAAGCCTGGCGTCGATGGAGTCAGTTGGTTTTAGGGACTAGTTCGGACTGTACGTCAGGATTGTAGTGCCGGTCGTTTCAAGTTGAAAGGAGGAATTACAAGATTAATAAAGGAAAGATTGTGTTTTTCGTAATTTTGGTGTGTCCATGACCATACGTAGTCATTCGATGAAGTAGACATGGTGTTAATTTTTGTTTATAAGATATTTCAGTTGCTAGATTAACCTAGAAGTCTACTTTGTATCCTCGAACATGAGGTGCAGGGCTACCGCCAGAACAGAGCCAAATAACACGTAATTTCACGACCATCGCAGCCTTATGGATTATAGTGTGTTTGGTCGTGACAATAACGTTAATATAATTGTAGGCCTAAATTGAACAGTTTAGTTCAATTGAAACACATATTTTTATTATAACTAACAGGATAATTGAAGGATTGTTTAGAAAGATTTAGATTATTCCAGACAATTCACGACCGTACCGCTTGTCCCTGACCATCACATTTATGATTTCTATCATAAAAATTTCAAAAATTAAAATATCGTCATATTTCAATGTCTTATACACAAAAGAAGCACACCTCTATACAAACATAACGATTTTTCGGGTCTCAGGTAAGTTTTTTTTCGGAGTTATACAAACTTAAAAAGGTTTTATTTCCTTTTTTTCAATTTTTTGAGTTTTTTTATTTTTTTCTAGAAAGACCAAATATACCAAAAGCTCAGTGACCTTTTTATTGTATAATGGTCATAAAAGTAAATTAGTTTATAGCAAAACATAGTTATAAAAATAATATTAACTATTTTTAATATTCATTTAAACATCCGTTATGGTCGTGACAGGATTTTGTGTTTTTCCACTAAAGATGCTCTTTTAAAAAGAAACTACCAAAGATATTGCATTACCATGGACATTTTATGAAACTTCAAATGTTGATAAAATAAAAAAAAATAAAAGTTTTGAAAAAAGGGGAAAAAAATTTGCAAAGTGCTTTTCCTGAAAACGTACGTTTTTAAATTTTCACTCTGCTATTATGTTACCTTACAATATCTTTATTAGTCTAGTTAAAACTACATGTTTCGTGGCAACTGCCAAATCATCATATTGCTCTTCTACGATTCGCCATACACATAAAATTGAATCACAAAACACACAGCCGTCCAAAAGCGTGCACGTTATGACATTGATCTAATTAATTTAAAATCTTTTGTTGTGTCCTATCAACGTATGTTTTGTAAGTGTATGACGAATTGTAGAAAAGGATGAACCTGATGATGTGGCAGACGCCCCAAAAATACTATTTATTTAATTTCAGTAGCTCAAAAATGTTATGGTAATTCTTACCTTCTCAGTGCACCCTCATAAATTTTGTTTTTCAAAATGTAGGAAATAAGGCCCAGATTCTTAAAACGATGGTTTTTTTAAATTTAAAGTGTAATGTTTTATGTTATCATTCTCAGAATCAGGGCGTTATTTCGTACATTTCGAAAAAAGGAAATTTAATTTTCCTAGGATGTACTGAGAAGGTAAGAATCACCAATTTTATTAGGGCCCAAAGGTGTTTATTAGCTTTAAAGTGTTTACCTTCCACAGTCAAGAAGTACAGTCATTACCACAAGGCTTTCGCATGGGTGATTTGACTGCTGCATGCAAGGGGGTGCTACAGAAACGGCGGCTTTGGAAGGCACTGCAGGTGCTACAACAGCCAAAGTAGTACACAAATTTAAAAACAGATTATGTTAGGTGTACATAACAAGAGTCAGGAACTTGGAGAGAGTATTGATCAATATTTGTGGAAGCTTAAATGATCTCAGCAAATTATGCAATTTTAAAGCTGCTAAAAAAAGAACAAATATATTAGAGATGCTTTTTTCAGGAAATTAACTATTGAAACATAGGTTTAGTCAAGCAAATCATCAAAGCTGGCTCTTTCTTTGGGCCTGTGATTCGCAGTAAGCCGTGTCCTCAGGATAAATTCAAGGGTTCAGCCAACGTTTGTATCTCCATCATGAATGATTATGTTTTAATTGCCAATCAATCGAAAAACTCATCAATACATAGCTAACCGCTAGCTGGCTAGCTACACACCCTTGATGAAGCACATAATCAAGCAGTTACCTTAGAGCCATCTGCAAATTGAGCTCTTTTCTTATAACTCGATTCCCTGCAATTCTCTCACACAACCTGTAGGTTGAATAAATTAAGAGTTTGGACCGACTGAATTTCATTTAATTTAGAACCGAACTGCATTTTTGAAAATAGATTACAAAACATTAATACAAATCATTGACTAGGTTTAATAGTCAAAGATTAAAATACTAAGAATGGCCGTTTTCACACTGGGCGACACGAAACCGGCACGAAAACTTTTTACCTTACCTATAGGTAACCTTCTGTTGTGAACTTTTACCAGATGAAACTGGATTGTTCATGTCAAAAATTTAAACAACACTTATTCATACATAAACATTGAGTATCTATATATTTAATACACAGTTGTAACACTGTTTTCTCAGTAATTACTGGACCGATCCACAAGATCTATGTGTCAAATTAAAGGGGATAATGCATAGATTTGCCGAACTTCATTAGAATTCACGTTTTTTCTAAGGGTTAAGACCTACAGCCCTTCAAAGGTCGAGTCAATACAATTCTTATTGAAGAATATAATACACAGTTAATAAATTATTCGTCAGCTGTTTAATGTTTGTCAGACATTTGTTATTATTTTCATAACCTCACTTTCAGTATGTCATTATTATTCTAGGAATTCCTGTTTATAAACACACGATTTTGATTAAGGAAAAGTGTATGTGTTAACTTTTAATACCACAATGTATTATTTATAAATGTATTTGAACATTATTTGTATGTTTTGGTGAAAATTTTGTATGTTTGCAATGTTTTAGTTTTCCTGCGAAGTGATCTGAAGGAAAGTGGTAATTGAGTTTAAGTTTGAGTATGGAATGTAAAATAATACCTATAGTAGGGAACGGAAACTTATTGTTTTGATCAATATAATTTATTCTCTATAGCCACCAGAACAATCATAGGGAAATCCGCTTGCAATTTGTACAGATACAATTGCTAATGAGTGGGAAACATACAAACATTTTATCTTAAGTGATTGATCTTACTCAAGATCAATGTTTGACGTTCAGCAGTACCAAACTTTGCCTTTTTGAGATGGGGAGTACGCTGGGATACGTGGAACTACAATTTATCAGTGAACTATAGCCTAAATATTTTTTACGATTTTGGTTCTGGCGAAGAAGTATGTGACTTGGAATGTTGACTCGGGTCATTACAGCGTTATAAAACTGTATCATTAACCCCAGGGTGTGAAATGTACAAAAAGAAAAAGAAAAGGTAATCCTTAACCGGACGTAAAGAGACATATAGAACGAAAAAAACACGTAGAGAACCATCGAACTAAAAAAGTAAAGAGTAGTGATGTTGTTTGTTATTTAATAAGTCCCTAAAAAAAACACCAACTCTTTTGAATTGGGGTCGTTAAATTGGAGTTGTCACTACTGCAAATGTATGAATTTTGAGTCAGAACAGACTAACAGGGACACAAATATATTCTCCTTATGTTGTCACAAGGGGAAGGTAAAATGAGCTCCTTATCAACATTTTGAGTTTATGGAAAATCTTATCAACGGGGCTACAGCGACTTTAAATAAAGTATTAAGGGTCAAAAGAAACAACAAAAAAACTTTTTGAATAATATAATATCATACAACTCTGCATTTGAAATGGCGAGTTCTAAGTCTCACTTGCATCAACATCTTTCTGGTAGAGGTAGTCTTTATAATCTTAAGATCCGGAACTCCTTTTACCATCGGATTGGAATGTCAATACCCTCTAATATTGAACCCAAGTATGTTCAACTTTAAATATACGACGTAAACACAGATCTTTTACTCACAGAATGAGTCAAAGATTCGTGAAATGCGACCAACTGCTGATGCGTGATTTACATGTAAGTGACTACAGTATCTTTATTCCATACAACAAATGTAATGAACAAAAAAACAACGAATATAGGAATCTAAATGAATAAATTATCTCTATAGTATAAGTTGCTGCTTATTAAGGTTCCGGTCCAAGTTCTTGCAGTGACTAATACTTCAAAGGAAGGAAGGTGAGAAGATTTTCTTACTGCTGATAGCCTTTTTCGAATTCAGCGTGAAAAATACTGTATTATCTATAGTTTTGGGCGTTTATGAGGAACCAAACAAAATGTTAAAAACTCTACTATCTCATCATTTCAGTAAACTATGATATCATTATTTTAATAGAAGTTAAATTGATGTCATGAAACAATTTACCGCAAATTAATATTTTTGGGATAGATTTACATTGACCAAAGAATACTCTCAAAGTATGGTGTAGTGATAAGGTTTCCCGAGCAAAGCTCGGTCCCCAGGCACTAAAACATTTATTTGGTTAAACTAATATATCGGTTTGTTTAACATAAAATAGTTTATACAGGTCAACTACCAGTTCTGTTTCA